CTCTTCTTGTGGAAGTGAATAACAAATAACATACTATAACAAACACCTAATATTTTACTTTTTTGGTTATTTTGGGTTATTTGGGTTATATATTGGGTTTAACACATCCTTATCAGACCAAAACCCAAACTCTAAACAAGGCTGAGTTTCTAAATGCATTTGGTATTCACCCAACAGTTCTGATAGCCGGCCTCAAAGACCATTAAAATTTAAGAGAAGCCATGTAATGTCTGCTTGGTGACATCAGGGCACGGGCTGTTAGCCAAATCTCCATGAATCAACCCAGAGCTTTGAGCATGCTTAAGCAATCATGACCTGGCATAAGGTCCGTGTACGTAATCAATTATTCATTTGGAAGGTGTGGAAAGTCGGCCCATCTGCTGAGGGGAGCAGTCCTGGCTGAGTTATTGAGCTGTAGGCCGCTCTGCCTCTTCATAATGATCCAACTATGTGTTGCTCTGCAGCCAGACCAGTCGCCAACGTAAACCAATATGGCTATTCGCAAATATCAGCAGCTCTGCTTTCATTTTAACACTCGCTGAAGACTTTTACTGCGATCACGTTCATTTTTATTTTACTTTGCATTAAATGTTTGGCTAAAGCCACCGAGCACTGCTCCAGAATAAGCACGCTGCAGCTTGTTTATCATGCCTTGAAGGATGTTGATGTTTCGTTTCTGATAATGAAGCAACTGGAGAGATGATGCACCACTTCATCAAAAAGGGACGACTTCTACTTCTAGGGGGGGGAAAGGAGCTCATTGTGAGCATTACTTACATGTGCACACTCCTCTGACACAAGCACACTGTCACAAATGACTCCTGTGTTCCTCATACAGACATCACTCATATGAAATCTGATTAACAGCAAATCAAACACTAATCTTGAACACGGAGATGTGATTTATAGACATGGCAGAGTATATCCAGGGGGCGAGATCCACTGGAATCCCAGTTTCAGTCTCTGATCACTCTGTTCAGATTCTTTAAATATTTTTATTACTACACATCAGATGGAATTATAACTCCATGTGTTGATTAAAAACCACAGAGTTCCCTGGATCTTTGTTGGAGCTACACTGCGCCCTGGAGGTTAACAGTAGTAAAGCGCAGTCAACAGGTCCACCCTCTGCTACTACTGGACCTACTGGCCTGTGTTAAGACTCTGAAACAGGAGAAAAGAGGAGAAAACATCGACTTTTAAAGACAAAGTAAGCCCTGAGCAGAAAAGGCAGAGACTCATCAGACCAGGCTGCCTCAAGTCTCGACCTCTTTGGCATACCTTGATCGTAATGAGTGCTTATTAGAAACTAAACTATAGCGATGGTTGTGTTGAAAAATGCCAAGAGATCAGCAGTTTCTGAAAAACTCAGACCAGCAACCACCACGCCTCGTCCAAATTCAGCTTTCCTCCTTATTCTGATGCTCGGTTTGGAGTTCAGCAGGTCTTCCTGCTCATGTCTACATGCTGAAATGCCTCGAGAGCCTGCCCCGCAATTGGCCTATTTGATATTTGCATGAATAGGTAGATGAACAGATACAAGTAACCAAGTTATTTCATTTAAAGTATACTAAATAAAGGTTTCAGTGTTATAAGCTAAAGTCAGTGCTTTGCGTGCCATGGCTGTCATTTCAGATAGACTGTGATGGCTGAAATAGATCATTAAGTGCCAGGATGCGGTCGTTTTTCTTTTGCCTTGTTCAC